AGCTCTGGCTGCGCAAAAGACCAAGATTTCGTTGATTGTCGAAGAAAATACAGATTCCATATCTCTTGTAAGTCTCAAGAATTACGCTTTAAAACTTCCTTTTGTTTCTGTTCAAGAATAGACGGGAAAATATTTGTACATTAATGTTTGTTTTCAAGATGACATCTATGAAGATATTTCGATGCTTGAATTTGCCGAATATTTTTTACAACAGGATAGAAACGAGGCTGATGAAGCCAAAGAGAAATCGTCTGGTTTATTCGATCCCTCGGCAGAAGCGTTTCAAGAGTCATTCAAAGTGACCATCAGTTTGTTGGCTGTGGCAATTATCCTCGGCCTGATATGGCATTTTGGAAGGTACAAGAAAAAGGAGAAAGAAAAGCAAAGTAAAAAAGAGAAACTGGGTGAGTTTTTTGTATCGTAGAATTGTGATGAATGTTCGCATGCTATAATTCCTAGTTCCAATCCACAAAACATGTTGTGTTTACCCATTTAGGAATTTATGTGAATGAAGTCCGATTAATTTCCCATCTGAAATTACCTAAAAATGTTTCTGCAAATTTTGTACAAAAACATGCCCTTTGCCTGTCGCATGCATCAATGTTTATGTCATCATTAGGAATTCGGTTTGAATTGCAGAAGTGCAATGTTCATTCAACAACTATTCTTTGTTTGTTCTCCCAACAACTATTCTCCTAATAACGAATATCTTATTGTATAAAACATTCCGTTTTAAACGGAGTGCAATGAAATAATGCCCAGATCTCGTCTCTACCTTCGCAGAAGAGAGTATTCCTTCATTCCGAGTCGCAGAATACCTCAGAACGGAGGGTCGCGAGTCACTGGAGGATTTCGCCAAATCCTTAGAACAGCAGATTTCGGCTATGAGAGATAAACAAATTCGTGAGCGTAAGAGCACGTGGCTTTACAAAGCCGAGAGAGCCAGACTCCATCGAACTGGATCGCCAATATCTTTCGACCTTCGGAGATCGAGGACACGGGTCAATCCGAAAGTGAATACGGCTTTCGACAAAGATGAGTCGGGCGCATCGCCCCGTCAGTCTTCTATTTCATCCTTTAATGATTTCCGAAAGAAGAAATCTGGTCAGGTCGTTCCTGTTGTGGAGGAACGTTCTCCATCACAAAGTCATCTAAGTCTTACCTCTTTAAAAGAGGAAGATGATGTCCAGTCTAGTCAGGTATTTCCAATGCAAGACCGTTCCTCGTCGAGGAGTCATCATAGTCAGACCTCGTTAATACAGGAAGACGATGCTATGTAGTCGCAGAACTTGTATCTATTTGTTTACTGTTGTGGCTGCATGATGTTTAAGTTCGCCACTGAATAGCTAAGGTGCACTTCGAAATCCAGTGAGCTGATTCTGCCGTGTGGGTGGTTTTGTAAAACTATTGATTATGATGACCTCAGAGGTGGAGTTAGCCGACTTAGCCCTATAAACTGTTTTCCAAATTACCGAGTATCAATCGAAGGTTGTCAGAAATGCTTTTATTTCTTTCAAAATTCTAAAAAGCCGAGATGAAAACTTGCATTACTTCGAAATCCAAGATGGCGGACAACTCGTTGTCAAAATTTTTAGATTTTTTCAACGTTCTTTATTAATAAAATGCGACAGTACTTTCTAGTTGCAATTGTCTTTTATTAATATTTAAATTACCACATAACATTATTAATTGTAAATAAGATGTAGGTGACGAATCGATTTTAATACTCAGTTAAATGAGTTAATATACGTTAATTAATTCTCTTCTAATAATAAATCATAATATAACTGACAGGGATTGTTATATATTGCTTATCGAGATCCCGTTGTACTAAAGCAAGGTTTGAACTCGCACAGGCTAATGGAGTAATGCCAAATTTAAAAAAGTGTAATAACGACCTTGCAAATGATTCCAAATAAGTTAATGTCTTTAAATTTATTAACGAAAACAGTGGGAATTACTTTCATTTATATTTTTTTCTCCTGTGTCACCACAGGGTGGTTTCGATTATATTCAACAAAATAACTACAGTTTTGTTCTATTTTTGGCTAAAACTCGTTTAAAATTTCAGCTAAAGTCTACCGCATTATTATATAAGCTCATTTTTCGCATAATGATTTCCCGGTAGTTCATAATAGATTTCCGGATACAGCGAAAGTTTTATGATTATGAGCCGGTTCCGGCTGTGGTTTCACTTTCAAAATGAACTGATGCACCGTCTTATCTATTTGCCACCATACTCAATGTCAGAAAATCAATTAACTGTTCTAGTCCGCTTACTTGTTCGGGCAAATACACGCTGATAGGTTGCCCTGTACTCAAATGACTTTCGTAAGCTTCGAGCCACAATCTCCCCTTCATGAAAACCTCGTACATCGTATCTTGTGCGTTCCAGTGCAAAGGATAAAAATGACATATAGATATGCAACCATCTTCAGCGCCCAACGTGTGAAATTCTGAGCTGTTTTCTGGCAGGGGATCACCGTTTTTCTGCTGTAAATTTCTCGGCGACACGATTGTCAATCTTGGGCACGAATTCGGGTAATCTTGAGGAAGGTTGATGCGCAATGTGTAAGATTTGTTGTTGTTTGTCTCAAGTCTCACCTCGACTTTCGTCGATTCCCTCGGAGATATCCATGTTACTCTGTTCGGGAAATATTTATCCAATAGGCCACGTTCAATGCCAAGACGTTGGATTTGTGCTGGAGACCTCGAAGTAAACATCTTTGAACCAGTGACGCGAACTGAAAGACACTTTCGCTTATACAGACTAGCTACTGTCTTTCCCGGAATAAATCATGCTAATGTTTCCTGGTATTAGTGATTACTCTTTTTGTTATCTGATCGGGAATAATTCATAATTTATCATCACACTTTTTGTTTACACGTTTTGAAAAGATAGTGCAAAGCAGGCCATCATTTAGTCCGTAGAGAATTCTAAAAAACTTAGATACTTCTAGGAAATGAGGTGTAAATTATTTACATGAAGAATGGGTGGGAAGTCCAATTTAAATTATATCAGTTAAACAACAAAATCTCTAAATTTTTTATTGTGATTGGTTAAATCCACTGTTTAAATCTCGAACTACGGAGATAGAGGGGTTTACAGTCCGCTATAATTCGAAACTCCATTGGGGCACTGATCAGAATATACACTGTGTGCATATTCTCAGTGATATTCTGATCACTGATCTAAATATACACTGCACTTGGTATGGCACTTAGAGACTTAATTAAAAAGATGTAATACATCACTCTACACCCGGGCTCTTTCAAGGTGACTGTGTAATTTAATGAATAAGGGCTTTTATTTATATAGTATTTTTTCTGTCCAGGAGAATGAAAGTTCGTTCATTCTGGTTTCACCTTTCGTAAGTATAGATGCTATAACTCCAGTACTATCAGATCAGTGATTTGGAACTGTGGCTTCACATGCTTGTCTGTAACACAATTTGTGTCTGATATGGCAATATAAGTGGGAGGGGAGGGGAGGCTGGTATTTGCAAAACTTTTTGTATACAGTATATCAATAGAGACAGATAGAGCCCTGACTTTCAAAGGTTTATCTGTTTCAAAACTCAAGCATACCCATTTTTTATTGATTTTAATTTGGAGTACTCAAGCCGAATACAAAACTGCCATTATATATAAATTCTTTACAGGACATCGCAGCCATAAAGCTAGACTTTTTTATTCACATATATTAAGAAAAAAAAGTTCTGAAGAAAATAAAGTTGGCTGTTCTTTGTTTAAAATCCATGCACCTTGACTTGGTTCTTTGTCGCAAGATCGATTTCAATTAGGAAATCATGAATGCTCTGTCTCTGGTCACCTTGTAGTTGGATAACCTCACCATGTTCAGGGTGGTCTACCACTGTTCCATTGCACGAGAAGTTCTAAAAGCATATCATGATTCAAATCAGTACGTAAAAATACATTATATACAAAATGAAAGAAAAGTTCATGTGAAATTTCAAAGAGTAATTTCCATTTTATATTCTAATGTTAACTTAGGGTCTGGTGATATTGTGATATGATAGAAAATCATCTTTTTATTTGGTTCCTACTGAAAAGTTGTTGGTAATGATCAATGCCTAAAGGTTGGTTCATAAAATTAGTGAGGTAAACTAGAAAGTAGAAAAACCATCAGAGGACATTGATGAAAACCGGTACCACCATTTCCTCAACCTGTAGTATGCTGTAGTCAGTGTAGTGTATACTATTAATGGTGAGGGCAACTTGTGGGTACACCACTGACTGAGTATTAAAATTCTATGGCAAACACAATCTAGTAGACAAGATCTTGCTATATTTGACTGATCTAATAGAAACCAACCGTTCAAGGCTTTCATAATGCAATCACCAACTAATCTACACACCTTTTTAAAATACTTCACAAGTCGTTTCTTGTCGTATTTTTCTGAGATTCCTTGAACCGTGGTTAGCGTTTTTCGGCCATTTCTTTGCTGAATTCGGATATGAATGAGACCCTCCTGCTCAGATTTGTCGACGGCAAATGGATCTGAAATGAACGGTATACAATTCGAAAATTAAATCTGAATAGTACTAACTAAAATACAAGAGGTTTTGAGTACCGACAGTGTTATAAACATGAAAATATAGAGTATTCAGAAACACTAAAACACAATCATCTTTCGAAAACGAAAAACTTACGGATATATTTTTACTAGAGAAAGAAAAAACATATAATTACCGGCTGAATTGAAGTTTTGAACCGACATACGAAGACAGCAAAAAGAGGAAAAAATAGAGTAAAAACTTCGCCAAAAGAGGTCGGTGTGTAAAACGTATCGTTATTACGAGTGGGAAGAAATTATTTATGATGTCAAGGATAGGGATGGATGATAATGGATAGAGAGATGGATTATTTTAATGGATGTATATGGGTATATGTTAATATATTGGGACAAATCATTGCTATTTAGGTATTGATTATGTCAGGTATTATTGGGGGCATGATATGGATGACTATGGATAATTCGGTAGCTATTGTTACAATTTTATATTGGAATTTTACAGGTTCCTACATGAAGTAACTGCAAATTGTCAATTTTCCACGAGGTTTGGTTCAAATTTGAAACATAAAAGTGAAAATACTCGATTTTGGAACGTTTTTTGCAGGAAAACGGCCGCACGAGGTGAAAATGAGTAGTCCTGAGAAGAGTGCTTCCTTTGAAAAGAAAATAGCCAAACAAATTGAGGTATATTGCCAGTATGCATATAGCACAATGAGCACACTTGCATAGGCTGCACGTGACAAATAAATAATATTGTGATTTGTAACTTTATTACATACAGTAAAAAAATTACGATGTATGTAATTTATGAATTATTTTACCCTTGAAACTGTCATTAAAACTTAAACTTAGTTCCTCACTGAGTTCCTCATCTCGTGCAAAAACAGGATCATGAACAATTAACAATTATTGGATGAGGTTGAGTGTGATATCGAGAATTATCAAGCCAAAGTTTGCATTATTCGCCGAAGCGAAGCTGAGGCGGATAATGCAAACTGAGGCTTGATAATTCTCGATATCATGCGAAAACCGAATTCAATAATTGTTTTATTATGTATTTCCTTTTTAGAGAGGAAACCTGTGCCATTATTGACAACAAACTAGCGGCAAAAAATTACGTCACCTACGGATAATTTTCAATGTCTTGTAGGTGGCAAGACATTGAGAATTATCTGTAGGTTTTTAGCCAATCACAATCGAGATTGCATTAGTAATGCATAATAATTCATAATAATTCCCTCAGTTCCACCCCCCTGAAATCAAATGTCTGATATGATCAATGCTTTTTTCCCTAGTATTACTTTGGGGATAAAAATCTACCCAAGGATAAGTTCCTCCTTCAAAAGTTGGAAGAAGATAATGGTTGTATCCTATTATACAGTCAAGTTAGCTAACTTAGCTTGCTGTAAAGTATTTTTAGATTACTCTATTAACTGTTAGCACACTAACATAACAGGTTTTGAAGATTAATTTGGGCAAGCTATCTTTGGAGTTTGTTACTTTACTGAAAATGACATTACCATAATCAAAATGTGTACAGAAAGCATTAGAGAGCTTAATTCAGATCATGCAAGGTAGTATGATGACACTACCAACCAGAAGTTAAATTACTCCTATATTGCCAACTGTGCATGTGTTTGTTTCAGAATTGACAACTTGTCTCCATGCAAAGCCAAAATTTTATTCATGATTTGCGGCCGAAGTCTTGATAGTACTGTTCTTTTGTCCTTAACTCATTGAATTTGTAGGGGTAACCATGGATTGTCTTATGACATTTGCCCGCTTGAAGGTAATTGATTTACTAATATCAATCTTTACCTTTGTGCCATATTTTTTTTACCTATGAAATATTGTAAAGTGTGGAAAATATAGCTAAGCAAAGTTGGTAATTTTGTAACTTTTAATACTTTTTTACTACGGTCGAAAGTGTGTAACTGATTTAATTACATGCTTTTGGGCCTTCGGCCATAGTAAAAAAGCATACAAAAGTGCTAAATTCACACAGTACTAATTTCAGTATGCTCTTTTTAGATTTGTTGATTTATTTCCTTCTTGTTGCCTAGATTATAAGTTGGTCTATTATGCAACAGGTTGATTAGTGAAAGTAATTTTTTCTGTTTAGACTATGGTTTATGATTTGATTGGACATGCTTTACGTACACATGGGACTGGTCTGATGGAGGTGGGTTAATAAAACATAATATCAGACACTTGCACCACAATGGTTTTAGGATGATTCTCTGGTCACACACACATCGCTGCTATTCCATTTTGTTACACACAATATATGAAGCCTAAGAAACAGCACTGGTGATTCTCTGGTCGCACACGTGACATTGACTCACATTGCTGTTTCTTGCTTCAAATTTGGCACATAACAAAATAGAATAGCGTTGTCACGTGTGTGACCAAAGAATCACACTTATGTGTGTCACGAGAAAACCACCCTAGTATAGCAACTATACCTATCTGAAAAGAAAATAATGCCAATGACATTCATTCATTTCCAAATACATTTTAGATAAACGAAGAAAACACCAAGATGCGTAGAATAAAACCAATGCCAGAAATTAACATGGAATATAACTTGGCATCACGAAACAAATCAATCTACTGTGTAAGTAGATTATAACAACTGTTGTCCTTAAATCATGGTCATTGTATGTTGCATGAAAATATTGTTGAGTATTTGTTTATTATTTGCAGCATTGCAAAATATTTAGTTGCATGATTAAACTTGCATGATCTAACTTTGCCTATAATATGACAATAAACCTGTAAAATATATTTCTTTTATTTGTAGAAAGGTTTTCCGGAATCTGCAACCTTAGATGAACTCGAAGAATTCTTTGAATCTAAAGGAAAGGTTTGATTTTTTGTGTATTAAACAAGCTGCAATACTTGAGATTATAAAGACCTGAGTCATTTTGACCAGCCATATTGATAATGATTTAGTTAACTAGACACTTTGACTGGAGATATATTGACTATTATTTTGAGCCCTCAGCACCCTACCAACTGGGATAATGTACAATTATTATAGTGGTCTAAATATGATGTAAAAGTGGAGAATGAGTATTAGAGTAATTTATCCTATCACTTCAGCATTTTCCCCCTTAATTCTATTAATCTGTATTGCTTCATATATTTACTTGCCTTGTTTAGTGTGTAAATATTGTCATGAGACGGACCTATGATGAGAAGAAAAACTTCAAAGGTTCAGTTTTTGTTGAATTCGAAACCAAGGATGAAGCAGTTGCATTTGTTGCAAGCAAGGATCTGAAATTCAAAGACAATGAGCTTACATACATGAGAAAGTAAGTTAACTGATAATAATGATGATGGTACCAGTATTAGTGATGATTTTAGCAATGATATGGGTGATATGTGATGATTATTGGTAATAGCAACATAATTTTTGTTTATGATGATGGCAATGATGATATTCAGGTGATGATGTTTGAAATGATGATATTTGTGATATATTAGCTTGGAAATTATAATAGTAAATAGTGGTGATGACAATGGCAATGAGGAAATTAGTGATGATGTTAACAATGATAATTATTCTTGATAATGACAATTATGATATGTATTAGTGATGATGTTGGCAATAATGATGCCAGCTAAGATGTTGGTAATGAAAATTTAGAACTCAGGCCCCGAAAAGTCTTTTTAAAGTTGGAATGTATGCATGTGCAGCACAATCCTGTAGATTACATAGCATTGTGTATATATTTTAGTTTTCTAAAATGAAGTTATTTATTATATGATTATATAGAGAAGACTACTTCAAAGGCAAAAGAGCAGAAAGTAAAAATGGCGAACATGGAGCAACGCCAACGTAAATATTACTTTGTCTTAAAAGATTTTTCTTACAATGTGAAGTGCATAGACATACACTCAAAGATTCACAATATGAGTAATTTTATTGCTCTGTTTAGAAAGGACCACAATAAAAGCACAGATAAAGAAGATACTCAAAAGGTAATGATACATTTTACTCCAGATTTTTTCATGTATAATGGTCATGGAATATCCTTTAAGCAACTTTGGATCATTTGCAGGAACTAGCGTCACTCTATGCTAATTAATTAACATTATATACAGCCAATTTCTCCAATGGATTAATGGATGAATTTGGTTTCTTGCCAATAGGATGAAGAATGCCCAAAAGGTCGTGTGATTCATTTTGCAGGAGCAGGGGATCAGACAACCCGCGAGGATATCAAAGTACAATACACAAAATGTTGTCTATTTGAAACTATGATGTTTAGGTTTTAATATGGCATATGTTTTTCCAACCAGGAAACCTTCTCCCTTGAAACTTTCAAAGTTAGATGGGTTGATTTCAGCATTGGTGATAAAGAGGTCGGTTTTAATACATTAAAATTTTGTGTGTAATGGTTGTGGCAAAGATGAATAGCACTTGATTTTAGACCACCAATTTTTTATTTATGAAGACTATTCTCTCTTTTCTCTTCCATTATTGACAACACTTTTAGCAACATTTTCATAGAGTTTGCATAGTCTGCAATGTCCTTCAAATAACAATTCAATGTTAATCATATTTTCAGGGGTTCATTCGCTATGAGAATGACGGTGATGCCGAAAAGGCATTGAAAGCTGTACTGGAGAAAAATGAGAATAAAGTAAACTTACGTGGTGTAGAAACAACTCTACGTGTGATCGAAGGTACTTGTGGACACTTACTAATTAAAGCTTTAATTGTTATTTTGCCATTAAAACTAAATATATTATATAAATTAAAACAGGAGATGAAGAGAAGGGTTACTGGAAGAAGTCAAAAGAGGAGTTTGACAAACATCGTCAGAGAAATAAGAGAGGTTTGTTCGTAATAAGTAATATTATATTCTCTGGTATGATACATATACTATTAGTGCTGTATGTTTCAATAATGAGGCGATTTTAAGGGTGCATAGATACAGTATGTAGGCATACTTTTTGCATATGCACAGAACTATACTCTTCTGCCAGGAAATACAAAAATTTAGTTGTTTAGATAGTATAAAGTACTTCAGTTGGCATAGTGGTCATCTGGCATGGGTTATTTTTGTTCAAAACATGGACTAGTGCTAGGACTAATCTCTTTGGTGACTATTACTTATCCCTTTTGTTTTACAAAAAGTTCTTTAAAAGTGTTTTGTTCTGTATAACAGGAGGAAAGAGACAACAACACTGGAAACATGGCAAACGAGGTAGACATGATGGCCATTCAAATGATGAACCACCTGTAAAACAAGCTAAGCCAGACACCTAAGTATATCTAACAGTACTATTTATACAAAGTACTGTATGACTAAAATGTCCACAGTATTTTGAGCACTGAGTCTGTTGTTTGGTAGAATTTGTCAAGTGTTGTTCATGTTGTGTTTGATAGCAATATGAAATAATGCAACTTGTTGTGAATATGATTCTACACAATTTGAAATAATTATTTCATATTTTGTAACAAGATATATATAAATGTTGCTTTACAACTAGTATCCTTCATTGGAAAATGTTATAGATTTATATGATGGGAAAAACTTCTTAAGTATTCCTGTTGTAATTGAATGATCAGCTTGTCCAAAACCCTAAAGAAGTGGGAATAAGAGAATAATGCAAGGATTAGCCAGACTGGAATAAAAGTGAAGGTAGTCTAGGGTAGGTTTATACCATATAAGCTGTGGCCCATTAGTTGAAATGTGATGAGCAATGATGAAAGATTTCATAAGCTAGTTGTGCAAAACTGCAATCCTACTCTATTTGGAATTGCTTTCATTTTTAATGAAATAGGTACTTGAGAAAAAGGTTATATATCCCTGTTTAGTACTGTTGCACTCTTGTATTTCAATCATTGTATTCAAATCAATGAAATGACTCTTGCTTGAAAACGGACAGAGACAAATGATCTTATTAAACAAGACACAAGTAAAACTGTTTACTGCTCAATTGTGACAATAGTTGGAAACTAGTTTTATTAGCAGGTTGGTAAATTGCAGTGGACAATGTTTCTGTTTGCACCAGTCTTTGCAATGATGAATAATTATGATATGTATGTTAAACTGAAGTGAAGGTAAGTATGTACATAGGTAAACTTGTTTATACAATTTTGTTTTCATTAGTGTTACTTCCAAAAGTTTCTGAAATAGTTTTCTTAGTGTACTGCTAATTAGGTATTTTTTCATGATCTACTCACCATTGAATAGCCATATACAAATAATTTTTCAGATTCACTGCTGTGTTCAATACGGCCACCGCCAACGCACTCAGAATGTAAGCTAAGCCTTTTCAACTCTGGTAATATTTCATCATAAATATCAGCTAAAGAATATAAATACACCCTAAAAATTTTGAAGAATATACACACACCATACCATGGCTCAGTAAAGTGTGTCATTGTCAACAGTACTGTAGTGCCTTCAACTTACAACATGCCTTGATTTTTTTTGCAACAATGATGTCCAATGATGCAATATGCGTGGGTGGATATAAACTTTAAAGGATCCTCCTAACATTGACAAAAGATCATAATTGCCTGCCATTATTCTTGGCTTGTGAATAACATGTTATTTCACTTTTCAGCTAATAAGCATCCTGAACTGCCTCTGGTAGGTCAATTGCATAAACATTAGGGCATTTTATGCCAAGTGGTTCTACTGTAAGTACTGTTTCTTCCTTTGCAGTTACATAGAGAAGAATTTTTCTGAAGGAGAGGTCTGTGTGTGACTGTAAAGTATGTAAATGTTTTTCTTGTTAACCATTCCCCTATGAACAAATTTCTCACCAATAAAGATCTGTTCACATGATCCAATTTTGTTGGATTAAATTCACTTCAGGGGTGAGGTAGTTAACTTTTAACAATAGTTAGTGACATAATTGGTCAATCAGAGTCCAGAATTTCTGGGTTAACTGTGCAAAATGTAGTTAAGAGTTTATACAACTGGCCCCTGATTGATGTTTTATAGTCTGTTAACTTGCAATGTACATGGTCAGCAAATCAACTTAAGCCAATGCAGTACTTCTTTAATCCATAACACACTCCATCTCATGTCAGAAGTGAATCCACTTAATTGGGTCCAACAAAATAGGATCTTGTGAACAGACCTAAAATAGGACATTTGCAACTGAAAATCCAGATAGGATTATTTGTCTTTGAAGGTTGACACTACATCTCCCTCCCCCCCCCCCCATATGTACGGCGCTGTATCCCCCTATAGTTACTCTTACCATGGTATGCTGCCCTTCTGTATCCCCGAACAATATATTTCTCATCATTGCCATCTTTTAGCTTCACTAGAATGTATTTAAACCGACCACCGCTCTCTATATCAACCTCTTCGACTTGATCGAGTTTTGCAGACATCTTGTAGACAAATTGGTGTATTACTTATAAACACGTGAAAACAAGATCATAACTAAAATGGTAAACAAAAAAAACCAGAAAAAAGACTAGTCCCAGACTCCGTCCGACCAAAAACGCGGGCAAATTCAAAATTTTAAATAAGTACCCAACATGGCCGTTTATAAACTTGAGTGACTTGAGTGGAGTTTTTCACTGGAGTTTTTACTTAATTTTGTTTAGACTTCGATGAAATTGTGGATGAATTGCACAAATAAACATGAGCAAAATGTTTGTTCTATGTTTCTTGCAACGCTTCTATTGTTGTGACCGAAAATATGTCTTTCAAATTGACAGAGAAGGGTGGTCAATTCAAACAAATTTGTCGTGGTTCCACTTTGCGGGAATAAATTTACGACAAATATTCAAGGAAAGGTTGATGGAGTCTAGTATTGCAATCTTCAGAAGTCTTCACTGGATATTTATCAATTGCAGGGTAAATGTTGGCGAATGGTTTCAAGCATTGTGGAACATTTTCTAGGTAAGGTAATTGAGTAAATGCTTTATAGTACCGATGCAATATAATCGTTACATATAAAGAAGATTTAATAGTGGATTTAATATTCATTAGAAGATTTAATATTCATACGGAATTTTGAGAAAACTATCCGAGGGTCACTCCGCCTAAGCTTCTCCTCGGATTTATAGTCGGATAGTTTACTCAAAATTCCGTATGAATTCCTGTTTTACTTCGCTAATTTGAAGGCTTTAGATGTTGTTTAAAAACATGGAAACTGCAGGATAATGTAGTTTAATCATCGGTAATTTTTAGGTTGTAGTTTTTGTGGCGTTTCTTCAAGTATTTTTTTAGATAATTATATATTTACGAAGGTATATCTGTCATATTTTGATAAACTCTTTTCTTCTTGTCATAATATATAGACAAAGTAAACAACGTAAGCGCGACACGCGCGCGAGTATCACACGCGCAAGTCAAAGTAACTACCGCAACTACTGTAACTATCGCCTTCTACCGCCAAATTCCACCAATTAGAAAGGTTGCTTGCCTTTACCCGCCCACCTGTTCTGCTGTTTCTTGGGAGATCAATTTAAATCTGACTTTTGATTGGCTAAAAATTACGAGATATTGCGCGTAAGTCCCTTTAAACTTCGATAATTTCCAAACAGTGTGAAATAATAAAGTAAAATTTCGTGAAAATAACATACCTACGCTCGTTTCTTTTGCAGCTATACGGTGCTTTGGTCTTCTAATTGTAAAAACGAAGAAAGAATAACAGTAAATACGCAAAAATAACAGTAAGTGATATATACCTAGCAATGTCGGCCTATAATCGCAATGCTGGGTGTCCTCAACCGAGATACCGGGCATGCTATTTTGAAGTCTTCTATATATTATTTACTAGTGCTTTCGTAAATTAAATCTCGGTGGCGCGTAGTCTTGAATAATTGTCGTAAACGCCAAGGTTTAATAATAGGTGATGTACGTTAAGGTATATAAATTCCACATAAGCGGCTATAGTGGGTCCAGCTCCGGCTGGGTAAGTTTGACCGTAATCTAGCTGGTACGTATTCTAGACAATTACTAAATTTTACGATCTTTAGCTTTACTGAGTTTACTCGGTGACAAGTGAAATAATAATCGCATATTTTCTTATAGCGACCACGACAAAACGTATGTTTTTCAATCTCAAACTGTCCCTAGGAATGAAATGTACCGCCACTATAATTTTTTTAAAAACTTAGCTGACAATTCCATGCCAGGAGCCCAATTGATTGCTAGGGTTTTACTAGCTGTCACTAGGTTTACTGTATTGCTAGGGTTTAGTAGATGACTATTGGTTTATAAATTGGATTGCTAGGGTTTACTAGATGACTAGGTTTATTGAATTGCTAGGTTGACCAGGTGTCTAGGTTTACTGTATTGCTAGGGTTTAGTAGATGACTATTGGTTTATTGGATTGCTAGGGTTTAGTAGATGACTAGGTTTATTGAATTAAGGGTTTATTGGGTTGCTAATTAACATTTACCAGATGACTAGGTTCTAATTGGGTCTTAAAAAGAACAGCCATCCAGGAATATGTAACTATAAAGTGAAAAAATTAAACCTAGTGTTTGTGTACTAATCAGTTGTCACTTTATTTATTGAAACCATTGCTCAAGATGGGCGATTTCTGTTATTTTATTGAATTTTTTTTTTCATAGATGTCAGATGACTACAACACAAATAGTCTGAACAATTATCTTGATCAACAACTTGTAGAAAGGTATGTAAAGTTAATTTATAACATCTTTATGTTAAGATTTTTTCTTAAATGGAATTACAGGGGGTGACTATGCAGGTTCTATTCATAATGATGGTATAAGCTACTTAATTGCTTGTGTGGATTATATTTAAGCTATGTAGATTATATGACAATCTCACTTTGGTCTGACAACTATAAACTAGTCATATGGTCAGACATCAGCCAAAAGTGATTGTCCTGTTTAACATTCTCGATAATTTGGTTGAATTTATTTTAGAAAACATGTTAAAAAATTTGCATCTATGAAATTAATGCAAAATATTAAATGAAACATGAAATATCCCCCTGTTACATTGTTGGTCTTTACAGAGACCTTATTATGATAGGTAGTAATTGATGAAATCTAATGGTAATGGAATTTTTATATGTACCTGTATCTGATCATGCAGACAAAATGTTGTGGCCACTGTACACAACATTTAAACAATAAATTTATTTAATGTTACTATTAGTTGTAAGAAATTCATGACCTGTCCTGTGGTTATATATAAGCTTTCCAATATGATAAAAAGTATGAGGTTCAAAGAGATTATAGTATAGGTAATAGTATGATTTCAAGTGCAATTACGGATTAACAAGCACAAGTGAGTTTTTAAAGGCTGCAAAATAGCACAAGTCTGAAGGACCAGCGGTATTTGCAATCTTTAAAAACTCATGAGTGTATGTTTATCCGTAATTCCACAAGAATTATACTATTATGTATTAGTGATATGCAAGGAAATCTTTGAGACACTAAATTAATGACCTCATCCATTATATGTCCTTGTCTCCTTGAACATTGTTTTCGAATTTAATTAGTTTAAACAATTTATACAAGAAATGAAAAACATTCAAAGTTCAAATTTTAATGGTTTGTCTGTCCATTGCTATTATTAAACATGGAGCAGTAATTGATTGGCTAATTTCATTTTTTTTTTCAACAAATCAGATATATTTGTAACAAGATTTTGCACTGTTGTTACAGGATTTTGCACTGTTACACATTTTTGCACTACTGTTTGGGATTAACTGCACTGAAATCAACCAATCAGGGTCGAGAAACATTTCCTTGTATATTATTATCAAGGAAAACAGCATTTAAGCATATATACAGTGCATTAATTGTTAAATTATCTAGCTCTGTGCCATTGTTAAATGAAAGAAGATCTGATGAATGGTGTATTCTGGAATTGTGCTTGAATCAGGTAAAAATTGTTCCTTGATGCTCTATAAGCATTCAACAATTCATTATAAAGATGGTAGTTGTACATTTTACCAGAATGCCCAAATGAAGAAAATGACATGGAAAATGGCTATGATGAATGTTGAACAAAACCAAACAAATAACTTCGTGTTTTAATTCAGTCAGCAATTTCATAGTGCAAACATTAAAATGTACATCCTCCAACCTACTATAAGGCCAAAAATTGATTTGGTTGTTGCATCAGGAATGAACAAAGTTGTGCTGCAGCCCATGAACAAGTATTGTTAAAAATGTTGTTGAACCTTGTAACAAGTTGCAAGAGTATTGATGGTCCAACAATGTTGTTAACACAACTGTTTACAGGGTGCAGCACAACATTATTCACGTTTATTTCTAACAACTTAATTATACATAGCTCAAGGCCGCGTACTAAGCATGCGCAGGAGACTACGACAGAAAATGTTAAAATTCCCCAAAATGCTAAAACTCCCTCAGTCTACTTTAAAAATGCTATTTTACTTACGGATGTATCCAAGCAGCCTTTATAGCCATCGTTGTAAATGCTCTGCGATATAATCCCAATCACGAGGGCAGTAGAGTTAATTGCACCGGTAATTAAGTTTCCCCAAACTGGGATCAAACCAGCACAGAAATTAAACCAATCAGTTTTGCTTACCTCTTATACCTCGTAAATACATTTTGACCATATATCTACCAGTCTCCACTTGCACACACGTACGGCTTGCGCGTTGACTGCCGCCTTGAAAATAGACTACAGTTCTACTGTCATACGTACAAAAAATTAGCCCCATCGGCCGCCTTGGCGACCAGTTTCGAGTCACCGCGAGCATGCGCCAAATCGGCCGCACTGACATTACGTGCAAGTGGAGGCTGGCCTTATAAGTATATATTAAGTATATTGTTTGAAAGCTAGTCTTAAATCCCAGGCAAAAATGTAAGCCGTGACGCTACGTGCAATTTCAGTTACATTCTGTATGTTTGTCTGCTTTAGTGCTCTAGTGTTTGTCTTCTCTAGTGAGACTCAACTAACGCTATTTAATAGTCAACCAGCGACAAAATTAATAGTATACCAACTATAACGGCACTTGCAAGATCTCAGATAGTATGTATAATATATAGCATGGTTTTTCTCTTTTATCACGGATAAAAACGCGCTTGAGCTAGTGGGTTTTAAAAATTATATTTGTAATATATAAGCCAAATAAGGATATTATAGCTAATATGTATTGAGTTTGTTTCATTATGTTATTTATTTTAATTTGAACAGAGGCTTGTGACTCTGAAATGGTTCCTGGATGACGCGCGTAGAGCTTTTGTGAATGGGATGCCACTACTAGCACATCGTTTGTATTCTCAAGCGTTGGATGTTGATCCCATGAACAAGGCCGTTTGTGCAAATCTATACTACAAAAGGGGGTTCATTATGTGCACGGTAATGACGAAATTTACTTGTAGCCCTATATATATGTATAAATCTACTGTATAAAGTTGACATCGTTATTAAACATCACCTGAGTGGCCCGAGTCCCGACTGACGATCAGGTTCAAGAATTGAAACGTGGAAATTGATTTTTTCTATATTTCTGTACAGTTAAAGATGGTTCCACAAGCCATTATGGATTTCACAGACGCCATTGAGTTGGATGTCAGTCATCTGAAAGCACACCTTCTCAGGGCGAAGTGGTATGGATAGTAATTAAACATTCCCCCCCCCTTCCTAAGTGTAAACATTTCTTTTTTAGGTAATAGTTTTTTTCCGAATATTCAGTAGCTAGCGAACTTTTTAAGTATCGTCTTCTGATCCCGTATTTGATTGTTTATATTTTATACTATAAACTATATAGTTACCACGCAATTGGACAATATCAGAAAGCCAGTAAAGCACATTATGAAATCTACGCCATGACAGGCAGACCAGGTATTCTACCTTCGATAACTGATTTTGTCGAGTAATTGAAAGTCTCTTCGGAATGTAGCATTGATAGTTTGTCAGATGCTAGTTTGACATCATGGCTTAAAATTAGAATATCTTGCCAGATATTGTTTCAGATACATCTATTTATCTATTCAGTGAAAGATTTTTTTATCCAGACTCGCTTAGTAATACAGACCGAGAAAGGATACGATTACTGGACATCTTTAAAGCAAATAATCTTAGAGCAAGAAGCCCTTTCGTATATAAATGAAGTTTACAGTATATGCATTATATTATATATTGAACAGTGTATTATCGATTATCTCAAGAAGCATACAATGCGAAGTGTAACCTCCGTTTTGCCCTCTATACCCTATCGCTGACTGAAGATTGTTCAGTCTTGGACGTCGAGGAAGCCTTTCGTAGGGAGGCGCGACTGCATCACCGAGGTGGGTGGATATCAATAATTATAATTGCCCGTGTTAATCGTTTGGGCCTTCTGCAGAGTGAAGTCAGCTACTTTGTACTTATCATCGTGCCAAAATTTCGAGCTGTTATTCCTATGCACTCTTGCGCCAGAGATTGAACGAGTGTGGCTATATAGAGGGGAGGGTGATGCAAGCCATTCGCCCTGCTATGGGTAGGGTGCATGCTGTAAGGGATATTAGAATGTATTTTTGTTCAAAAAATCCAACAAAAAAGAGATGGTACTGCTTATATTGTAAAAGCCTAAAAGATTCTCCCAAATACAATTATAATATAATTATGTTAATTATAATTGATACTAATTTCCAGACATAATTCCCCAAAATTCGGAAACGTCCGCCCTCTTTGATTTTAATTCACCCCTCACCTTGCGCTCCACTGGACTGTTTTTTTTTCTTTTTCCCAGATCGCCATCCGTGGGCGAGGGACGAGGTAAGGAAAGAGAAGAGGAAAAATTGAGGGAGATACAACCGTTGACTTCCCTAGCTCGTACAATACATACTAATTTAAATATCCATTATTGGATTGGTCACAGTTTCGCCTGGTCGCAAGGCTCAAGCAAATTAGCCTCTCTCACGATGAGGAATATACCGCCATTTTTGGGGTACTTTTTTCAAAAACCATGAGCGTAAGACTTGGTAACGGCGACTGTCTTTAATTTTAGGCTGAATTTATTCTTCAAATGGTCTGTTTATTCTAAAAAAATTGCTTTTTATGTTTAAACATAATTTTTTAACCCATTTCAGAAAATTGAAAATACCCCAAAACGTCATCGTGAGAAAGGCTATTTATAATACTCAACTAAATTATTCAAGAGAGAGTTTCAAAGAAGAATAAAATCTCTCAATTTTGTTGACTTTGCGGGGCTTTCCAAATCATTTCGTTAAAATTGGCTTCAGCAAATGTTTTGCTTGCAGGTACGACGAGCTCGTCAATTTCTCCTTGATTTTTTGAGAAGGAAGAATCGTTTCAATAATCACCAAGTGTGGTTTTCGAACACAGGTAAAGTCTTCTTTGTATTAGAATTTTAATATAATATGTTCTTGCTAAGTGAATGGAAACACGGTTTTTTTCAAATTGAAGTTCACAAATATCTTTTTTTCTGTTGTAGATTATTTTGAGCTCTGAATAAGCTCAGTTAATCCAAGATCAACCAATTTAAAGAACAACACTGACAGTGGGTACTAAGCAAAAAACGTTGATTTTATCTCTTTTTTATCATACTTATGCACATGAGACTAACATCTATCTCACTAGTACCTCCTGATTTATATACGCAGGTCGCACTCACTCATAACAAACATATAAATAATCTACATAAATTAAAAAATAATTATAATGCTTCTGGCAAGCAAATATTTTATTGTATAATACAAGGTAACTGCATGTTTTAGTGGTTAAATATGGCAAATTAAAGCCGTTAAATTAATAATTAATTAAATTAAATTTTACTATTGGTAAATAGACAATAGCGCACAGAGATGGGGCGTAGCTTGGGTGGGGTTGAGGGTATTTTTTGCCAAGGTTCTTTGCAAAGGATATAAAGTATGTGCACCTGGGACTGCCTAAAAATATTTTTATCTTTGACAAATACAGTATCTTCAACAAATACATGAAACAGTGGCTCTAAAATAGTGGAGTTAATGTGCTTTTCCAGCATTTTTCATGTTTGTACTACAAACTATAAATAAATACAACATTGAAAGTATGTCCCACACCCCAGAGTTACGCCCCTGATTGATATTACAGTAATTATTTATTTAAAATGTATTTTATGGAATACGAATGTAAAAGAAACAAGAATATACTCTGTCATTTTATTTGGGTTTATCTTTCTAAATTATCCTTGTAAAGCTAGGTGTACAAGACCGGTGTTTGTTTGAATATTATATTGTTTTTTTATTGTGCTCAACTAAGTCGGAAGGTTGACATTAAAAATCAAGCCTGCCTTCATTTTCCATCTAATAATGTTCAGTGCCTTAACATCTTCTTCCTTACAAAGAATCAATTCTAGACGAGAGACCCCCCCATAAAGAGGGAATTCCAGAGGCGAGAACTCTCGTGTTGGTTGGTTCGTGTGTCCCACGCAAAGCCACGAGATAACGAGGGAAGAAGATGGCTGACCAAAATTCAGAGGATGTTGAATTAAATAAGAAATCGAACCATTCTGATAGCTCCTGTGATGAGACTATGGCCGAAACAACAGACTCAGACTTGTACATAATGATCTAATTATTATATAAAAGTGGAGAATGAGTATTAGAGTAAAAAAAGGCAGATGAAGAAGATACTCAAAAGGTAATGATGCATTTACTCCAGATTTTTTCAGGTATAATCATGGAGTATCCTTTAAATCATCCGCAGGAATTTAGGGTCACTCTATGCAAATTAATTAACATTATATACAGCTAATTACTCCAATGGATTAATGGATGAATGTTGCTTCTTGCCAATAGGATGAAGAATGCCTAAAAGGTCGTGTGATTCATTTTGCAGGAAGCAGGGGAATGAGGGGATCAGACAACCAGCGAGGATATCAAAGTACAATACACAAAATGTTGTCTATTTGAAACTATAATGTTTAGGTTTTAACATTGCATATGTTTTTCCAACCAGGAAACTTTCTCCCTTGAAGATGGGTTGATTTCAGCATTGGTGATAAAGAGGTAGGTTTTAATACCATTAAAATTTTGTGTGTAATGGTTGTGGCAAAGATGAATAGCACTTGATTTTAGACCACCATTTTTTTATTTATGAAGACTATTCTCTCTTTTCTCTTCCATTATTGACAACACTTTTTAGTTTTAGCAACATTTTTATAGAGTGTAGAAAACAGTAATTTAATCTGACATACTGTTATACTTCATCTTAGTAATATTTAATAGTTTCGTTTTAATTGGTTGAGTTAAGTCACGTGGGTTTACCTCGTGCAAAGAAAAAAGGTTGAACACTTGGTGTATGAACTTCGGACAATGCAAATGAATTTGTATTGACGTTATTTGCAATTAAATAACATTTCTAAAAAGCCAGTATTCGTTCTGCTTTTTATATGGAGCCCGATAGGGGACATTAAAGAATCGGGAAACGGCGAAAACAATCAGTTGTTGGCGGTAATAGCGCTTTGTTTGTCGAAGTGTTCGGTGCGGCAGTGTACGTTGGGACTCGCATGGCGACAACATTTCTTTAAATCGGACGGGCAGTAGAGGTATAATTCTTCGCTTTCTTTGCTGATATTTTCTGGAATTACGTTACGTATGTACTTGTATCGTGTCGTACTGTGCCGTATTAGTCTTGAGTGTGAAAATTGAAAATATACTTGAGGTTAATTCCTTTCTTTGTTGGTTTGTACGGTATAATAAAATATGACGGAAGCGACAGTAAGAGTCAAAGGTAGATACAGCGGTCTTAAAACGTATCTAAAAACAGTTTTAAACGAATTGAATTCATATATTTCTTCGGATGACTGTAATCAAACCAAAATTTTGGGATTTAAGAGTACGGTGGCTAATATACTTGCTCAATTAGCGGTTGTTCACAATGAAGTTATTACATTGATCGACCCGAAGGAGGTTGAAGCGGAAGTAATTGAACACATGAAAGATCTAGAACCGACTTACCAAATTTTGGCAGCAGTTGATTTAAAGCTTGAAGAGTTTAAAACGCAAATAGATAGTTCCACCTCATCAAGTTTAATGCCTAGCACTGTTAGTCCAGTCCAGTGTAAGTTACCCAAAATCAAGTTGCCTGAGTTTTCCGGAGACCCACTTTTGTGGCAGGGGTTTTGGGACCAGTACCAGGTGGCAATTCACAATAAGGATAGTATAAGTGACATTGATAAATTCAATTATTTAAAAGGCTGTTTGAGAGGTGCAGCATTAGCTGCAATTTCTGGACTCACCCTAAATAGTGAAAATTATAAAGAAGCGATCCAATTATTACAAGATAGATTTGGAAATGAGCAAATTCTTATCAGCACACATGGAGTCCTTGTTGAAAATCAATAAGATTAGGTCCCGAGAAAATATTAAAGGTTTGAGAACACTTTATAATCACATTGAAAGTTGCGTTCGAAACTTACGGTCATTGAAACTTGATACAACAGGGTACGGTTCACTTATGATACCAATATTAAAAGATCGGTTACCAGATGAAATAACGATGGTAATTGCTAGGAAATTTGGTGGGAACACCTGGACCTTAGAACAAGTAATGGAATATTTTAATGACGAGCTTAGGGCTCAAGAGAATTGTGCCAGCATGAACACATCTAGATCAAGTAATTATGAAAGTTATAAGAAAGGGGGGCCAATCACAGCAAGTGGGTTGTTTGCAGGAACTAGGGCTAGTGCATGTATATATTGTAATAAAGATGACCATCTATCTTCTAAATGCACTACTGTCTCTAGCCATGAATCCAGGAAAGTAATTTTGCGTAAGAAAGGGAGATGTTTCGTTTGTCTGGACGCTGGGCATGTTGCAAAAAATTGCACATCAACTTACGTTTGCCGGCGATGTAAGAAGGGTAAACATCACATATCAATCTGCAAGTCTGCCCCAAATAAAAACTCGGAGGAACCCAAAGGAGAAAAAGAGGGAGAGAGTAAACAAGAGGGGGAGAGTAAAAAGGACAAAGGGGGAGCAAGTAATGAATTTGTAGGGCATGCTAGTTGCGATAAAAGGGGAATTTTGCTGCAAACTGCCAGGGTGGATGTATCCGCTGTTGATGAACAACAAAAGGTGCAAACACGTGTGTTGTTTGATTGCGGTAGTCAGCGATCGTACGTTTCGGAAAAGGTTCGATCTCGGTTAAAGTTGAAAACGATACGGACGGAGAGAGTAATTATTAAGACCTTCGGTCATGCGGAGGATAGCGAAGTACAAAAACTCGATGTTGTCCAATTTAAAATCAAACATAAGCATTATGCAAATTTTACTCGTGTAGAAGCTTTGTGTGTGCCCACAATTTGTAGCCCCCTTACAAATCAATGCATGTCAAGTGTACGTGAATGCCAGGAATTCAGAGAACTTGAATTTGCCGATTGCGATGATCATGGTTCGGATCGCCCCGTAGGAATATTAGTAGGTATTGATTATTATTACGCATTCATGACCGGGAGGGTGCTAAGGAGCAGCTTAGGACCTGTAGCTTGTCAGACAAAAGTTGGATGGGTGGTAAGTGGTGGAAGTAGTTATAGTTCGAGTAGCATGCATTGTCTTGAGACCTATTTACTGCGCACCGCCGTTGATGCCGCTGATAAACAAGCGGGAGATCAGGATTTAAGGCAAGATCTAGAAAAGTTTTGGAATGTTGAAAACGTAGGATTTTCTAGGGATTGTGTTGTTAACCAGTTTGAGAAAGACATTGCCCACAACGGAACAAGGTATATAGCAAAACTACCATTTAAACCTGACCATGAACCACTTCCTGACAATTTTAGTATAAGTGAGAAACGGTTAAAATCTTTGAAACCTCGCTTAGATGCAAGAAATATTTTGAATGAATATGACAAAATATTTTCGGATTATGAAGAAAATGGGATAATTGAGCGGGTCCCCATCGATGAAATAGCTAAGGAATCGGGAAAAGTTCACTATCTTCCCCATAGGCCAGTTGTGCGCGAAGACAAAGAAACAACTAAGATACGAGCGGTGTTCGATGCTTCCTGCAAGGCTAATGGTCCTTCTTTGAATGAATGTTTGTATCCCGGACCCAACCTTTTAGCTAAAATCTTTGATATCTTACTCCGGTTTCGATTTAACAGAATTGGCATACTAGCGGACATCAAGCAGGCTTTCCTCAACATCGCAATTGACAAAAAACATAGCGATTTTCTCAGGTTCTTGTGGTACGATTTACAATCACAAGACGAGCGCGTGATAGTATATAGATTCTTGAGAGTTGTATTCGGAGTCACAAGTAGCCCATTTTTATTAAACGGGACAATAAGACATCATCTCAGTAAATACATAGATAAGGAGAAAGAAATAGTTGAGCGTATAAG